TTTCCTTTTTAAAATTTTTTTTGGCGGCAAGAACAAACGAAACGTTACTGGAACTTTATCATAAAATTTTATAGGTGGGTAGCCCCCGGACCAAGGACCCTTTGTGACTAGATTTTGAGATCTCAATATTATCAGGAAGAAGTGGATTTTCTTTCAAAGTGTGCTGTTCCTCGTCCATCTTCCTTCTTTCTCTTTGCCTCTTTGCTTGCTTGTTTGGATGTTTGTTTGTCTGGCTCTGTCCTGTGCGTGTGTGTGATATGTGTATATATATAATATATATACACATACACACACACACACACACACACACACACACACACACACACACACACACATACACACATACACACACACACGCACACACACACACACACACACACACATATACACACACACGTTCATATATTTATATATATCATCCAACAGCCATTAATTCTCTAGCAGAATCTATGTCTGTCTCAACTCATTATTGAGGGTCATTTTGGCAGTATCATCCTTGCTTGACCGGATGCCCTTCTCAACCAGCCGCGGTTCAGCGTCTACCTCTTTTACAACGGCAGTGACATCACCTACGACACCAGCGTTTGATTTCCCAGAGCACTATGTCGTGTTCTTGCAGTGAGGTCGGGTTCGAGGCAGCAATCAGAGCACAGGCATTTGCAACTGCCGCGGCGGGGATTTGAACTCGGGACCACATGGGTCTGAGGTCACTGCTTTAACAACTGGACCATCGCAGCAGACATATATATATATACACACACACACAAGTATTTGCCACTGCTACGTTTTGCACAAGTGTACCTCTCCATGTCTCCACCGACATATGTAAATACAGCAGAGTAAGCGCCTCGCTCACGCCACTTGTAGAAGTAAAATAGATGGCATGACGCTAGGCGAATTAGATAGAGTGATAAGCGGCTAAAAATGGGCGTCTGTTTACGTAGGTATGAAGCCGGAGCCATGGCAACAAGGTATGGAGCCTGTGGGGCTGTGCGAATTACATGGAGACGAATAACCTTAATGAATACGGTTCGCCACCCCCCCTCGAAAAACAGTGTATAGTCAAACACAGTGAAGAAACATACGAATGCCAGAAATTATGGTTACTATCATAATGATAGAAATATTAACAATAAAGATATTAATGATAATAACAGTAACAATAAAGCTATTAAGGATAATAATAATAACAATATCAGTATTAATGATAATAATAATAATAATAATATTGATGATAAAAATGATAATGATATTAATGACAACAATAATAATATTACTATCATTATTATCATTATTATTACCATCACCATCATCCTCATCATCGTCATTATTATCATTATAATTATTATCACTATTACAGTCACTATCATCATCACTACCTTCCCCGCCTTCCACCACAAAACTATAAACAAACACAAGACATGTTCCCAACACTATGAATATTTTATCAATTAATGAGATTGCGATCGGTTAATTAATCTATATTCATGAACAACAGTGATTTGAATCTTCCCCCCCCCCTAAGTCATATTGACTAGGTAATTTATTTTATGTTCTAGAGAAACACAAAACGTTGTTGATATTATTATTGATGTTTCTTTCATTATTGTTGCTGTTTTTCTTATTATCATTATCATTATTATCATTATTACTATCGTTGTTATTATTATAAAAAGTACTATTACTGTCATTATTATTCTCATTATTATTTTCATTATCATTAGTTTTTATTATTATTATTTGTTTTATTATCATTATTATTATTACTCATTATCATTTTCATTATTATTATAATTATCATTATCATCACTATTATCATTATTATTATTATCACTATTACTGGCATTTTTATTATAATCTTCATTATTATTAATATCATTGTTATTGCTATTATTATCATTAACATCATTACTCTTCCTAGAACTAAAATCATTACCATTATTAGAATTATTACTATCGTTATCATTACTAAATCCTTATCCTTATCATCATTATTACTATCATCATTATCATCACTGTTAACATCATTCTTATCATTACCATTACCATTACAATATTATCATTAATATCATTATCATCATCATTATCTTTATCATTATCATTACTATTATTACCATTATCATTACTGATAACGTTATTAGTATTATCATCATCATTAATGCTATTTGTATATCATTATCAATATCATCCAAAGCTCTATTGCAATTATGGCTTAATGTTTTATATACAGACCTTAGATGTTTATCTAAAGACACCCCCTTTGATGCAGATTATTGACGAATACATACGCCCCCTCCCCTCTCCCCCCCCCCTCAAAAAAAATTCATATATTAAGCATTTCTCATTTACACTTCTTCTAATCAGCATTCAATGATTGAGTACAATTGTTACTTATCTTTCAAATCTCCCTTCCTTATCTCAGCCTCTTATCTGTATCTCCCTTCCCTTTCCTTATCTGGATCGTGAGGTAGTTGGTGGTGGTGGTGAAGGTGGTGGTGGTGGTGAAGGTGGTGGTGGTGGTGGTGAAGGTGGTGGTGGTGGTGGTGGTGGAGGTGGTGGTGGTGGTGGAGGTGGTGGTGGTGGTGGTGGTGGTGGAGGTGGAGGAGGTGGAGGTGGTGGTGGAGGTGGAGGAGGTGGTGGTGGTGAAGGTGGTGGTGGAGGTGGAGGTAGTGGAGGTGGTGGTGGTGGTGGTGGTGGAGGTGGTGGTGGAGGTGGTGGTGGAGGTGGTGGTGGAGGTGGTGGTGGTAGAGGTGGTGGTGGTGGTGGAGGTGGTGGTGGAGGTGGTGGAGGTGGTGGAGGAGGTGGAGGAGGTGGTGGTGATGGAGGAGGAGGTGGTGGTGGTGGTGGTGGTGGTGAAGGTGGTGGTGGTGGTGGAGGTGGAGGTGGTGGTGGAGGTGGAGGAGGTGGTGGTGAAGGTGGTGGTGGAGGTGGAGGTTATTAACGAATACATACGCCCCCTCCCCTCTCCCCCCCCTTAAAAAAAAAAAATAATATATTAAGCATTTTTCATTTACACTTATTCTAATCAGCATTCAATGATTGAGTACAATTGTTACTTATCTTTCAAATCTCCCTTCCTTATCTCAGCCTCTTATCTGTATCTCCCTTCCCTTTCCTTATCTGGATCGTGAGGTAGTTGGTGGTGG